ATATCTTTGTCTGATTATAGAGATGTGCTGGCGGAGGCAGCAGGAGCAGCGTGTGCGGGGGTCCGTTCTGCGGGTGTTCGAGTCGTGCGTGGGCGTCAACAGTGGTAGCAATAAATATGACTCATTAAAAAAAAGAAGAAGGTGCAACTAGTTTAACCTCGGGTTTTCCGCCTTTTACTTTTATGATGAAATAATAAGATTGCAAACTGACCTTTGACCTTGCAGAGGGAGCTTCCACAGCGCATTCTGTTCTGTTGGGAACTTAAATGCAGTATTCAGTTTATACTTTAGTTATCCTGCATTAGGGATCCAATCCTGTCCATTGTAAGCTCTAGTTATGTATAGCTAGAACAACAACATCAGCCTTCCTCATTCTCAGTGTCAAAGACTGAATTAAAGATCCACAGTTTGAATTTGGTAAACTGTTTTATCAAAAAATAAGCTCACACAGTGTGTTTATTTATTTCGCAAAACCTGACCAATGCACTTTGTATCGCAAAAGTAATCATATCTTTTCATATGTTGCCACAATAAAACCAGAAGTCTCATTTATTTCATTGGGATTGTACACACATACAAAATAATAATTCAGACAATCAAGTTTATTTGTGTAGCACGTTTCAGCAGCAAGGCAGATCTAAATGCTTTATATCACATAAATACAAAAAGAAAAAGTTGTGAAAACATCGTACAGTCACCGTTTTCAGAAACCGGTAACATGTTATCAAGTGCCGTTGTCAAAAATCATCAATACGCATCAAATATGTTTCCAGCGTCAGTGTTCCAGTGATAATGGGTCAAAAGCAACTCTGAACAGGTGTGTTTTAGTCTTGATTTAAAGGAACTCGATAATAAAAGGGAATACTTTTAAGGACGTCTGCAAAAACAGGAAAAAAATCTGAAAAGTGTGGCATGCAAATGCCATTATCTGGAGTGTTTGTTTTAGCATTTGGCATCTTCCTCGAATGCCATCTTCTTCTGCATGTTCTTTGTGCTCCCAAACAGCTCGTTTCCTCTCATCACAGTCCCAGTTCAACATTTCAGAACTGGCCCTTTAGTGTTAACAAACACATCAGAGGACATATATTGTGGGTTGACTCACATTTACCAAAAAAAGTTCATAAAAATAGATCGCTGCCTTGTTTAATATGGAATAGTTTGTTTGTTTTTTCTTTTAATGAACATATCGCTTTGGGATTGATGCAAGATGAGAAATGTTGTTAAAAGTACTTTCTTTTGTAGAGTGCTTTTCTAAAAACGCAGAGATTCAGCAAAATTACAAACAGAACAGTACAAAGAAAAGTCCTTATCTATTCTTAGAAGTGAAGGAGTCAAGAGGATTGCTTCCTATTTTATTTGCTCTTATTTGCTGTTACATAGCCTGTCTTGTCACACTGACATCCTGACTCCAGGAGAACCACTAATCTTAAATCTTGGCATTTTATAATTTTGCTGTTATGACTCATCATAAAGTGTAAAGCTAGAAAATATTTCAGCTTTTTCCCCAGATTCAAAAATCACAGCAAATTGTATTTTATTGTTTTAAAATGGAAAAACTCTTCATGGTTATCATTTTTTTTCTTTTTTGTGCTCAGACTTTGATTTTTCACCAACATTGTCTAAATTAAGCATATTGTGAAAACAAAAGATACGCACGACGCCATTGGAGAAAAAAAAATATTTGCTCGTCATATTTGCAACTTTGCCAAAGTTCTGATGCAAAGCAACCGATGTGAGTTAGCGTAGCTTCAATCTGGTGGCTTCCTTTTAACGGCCCACCCTGCTGCGATCCGCAGATCGACCTGTGACCCCGGGGTGCCAGAGGTCGACCTGCGGGTCACGCTAAACTTCTGATGAGCTTAGCAAAACAAAACACGTGGATTCAGAGAAATCAGGTCAGGAAGTGACTTTGCCAGAGTTTTGACTGAATAATTTACAAATCCACTTAGTGCATGCACTAGACTCTCCTTACTTCAGCTGTTCTATATTTCTCACATAAACACAACACACACAAGCGCACGCACACACGCACACACACACACAAGCTGTCCTATTCTTTATCGCATAAAGTCATAAGCATCAACATCATTCATATTCATTAAGTAGCGCAGGAGCTGCAACAAATACACACGAAAATATAAAAGCAGTAAAACAACAGACGTCATGAAATCTGTGCTGTACAGAACTTATGAAAAGTTGCTACGGTCTTTGTGAATGTGTAGAACTTCAATGCAGAATATGAAATGCATAGGATGTTGTTCCTCTTTAAGATCTGTTATAAACAACCCGCTTTGAGTTATTTTTTAATCCAGTTCCAGAGTTAAATATGGACCTGTCAAAGCCTGGGTTCATTTAATACAACAAGGTTATGGGTTCGATTCATTGGGGTCAGGATTTTAATCCAAAAAGTGCCTTTAATAGCCCAATATCTAACCGTAAAGCTATTAAAGAGTGGATTTAAAGAATACCTTTAATCATGGGTTACTAAGAAAGCCATCCATCTGTCCACAACACAGGAATTAGAGCTCAAAAATATAAAAGAAAAAGAATATTTAGAATTCTTGTAATCACACAGGACTAACAAAATTCCATATATTTGCCAAAAGGGCAGAATAATACGATAATGTTTTTGCAACATGCAAAACAGGAATCCGAGCATCATAATGTGGAGCTATTTTTCTGGAGGAGGGACTGGTGCACTTCAAAACATAAATGGCATCATAAGGAGAGAACATTATGTAGAGAGACTGAAGCAAGATCTCGTGACATCAGCCAGGACGGAGAAGGTTGAGTAAGAGTGCGTCTAAATGGACAATGATCCATTTTAGTCTTAAATTACTCACAAAGTAGCAGTCAAAGACCCAATCTTCTGTCTCCAAACGGTTATTAAAGTTCGCCGAGTGGGAATTTGCAAAATTCTAGCAAACTACAGTGAGAAGTTTGCAAAAATTTGAAAAAAAAAAAAAAAAAAAAAAAAAAATGAAGGATGCAAAATATATTGTTGATATCGGTACCAGTCTGATAAATAAAAACGCCCCGATATTAACAACCGATTTTTATTTCCATCTTGCTGCCGTTTGTTTCTGGACGGAGGAGATTGGTCATGTGACATTTGTTTGGTCATGTGACATTTGTTTGGTCATGTGACAGTGAAAATGATGCAGCGCAGCATTGTGGGTAGTTTAGCTGAAGCAGAGGAGCAGTGGTGAAGTCGGTGATGTGGTCATTTGATTTGAGGTGTGGCCTTAAAGACAGTGAAACTATTCTTTGCAGCTGTAGGTTATCTTTAGGAATACCAAGGCTTAGGGAACGTAAGAACAAATGTAACATTCACATTTATCTGGTTTTCTTTGTAACACTAAGAAGAATAGCTTGAATATAATAGGTGGATACGCAATGTTTGCTGAGACGAAGACCTCTGCAGAGCTCGCAACCAACATGAATTAACCAACACGCTCTCATCCCTCCTTCTACATCCATAAAGCTCTGACAAGGTGTGCCTCCATGAATCCATATTCCCTCCTTCACAGACACCCACAACGCATAGCAAGTGGCATTTCTTAGGGAGTGCCTACTGCCTCTAAGCACACATAACTGTCGCCTATGAGTTATTATGCATCTGTCTGTGTATTTTAAGCTGCGCCAGATGCCGCCGTTAATGGCACACCTAACCTCATGCCACGAGACGGTAACACCGGGAACCCGGATTGGAATCTTTCACCGCTTACCCCCACCTTCAATTGTCTCCTCCGAGCGCCGCCGCTGTCCGGTGCTTAGGGGAACCTGCAGGGGACGTTTCAGACAGGATATTAATGGGGGGCCCCTCCGACAGTCAGAGGGCCTGACAGAACCCTGTTTCATTGTCACCTTGCCTTGGAGGACGAGGGAAAAACTTGCGAAGCTTATTAGCCGAATGGAGCTGTTTTTCCCGCTAACTTACTCAATCTCTGCCTCGCTGCTTCATTACACCGTCTTACATCAGAGTCTAGCTGCTCTCGCTGTTTCCTCACCATGTCGCCGCACTCACTTCCACACAGGCAGACACACACACACACACACACACACACAGACACACACACACACACACACACGTACACGCACACACACCCTCACACGCACAGGGTGACATCTCCCACCTAATCAAGTAGTGGATTATCTTGTCCTGATAAATTGGAGCTTGTAGCACTTGAAAGGTCCTCTTGGAGGAGTGCTGTCTCCTCCTAACAGCTAGTTCAAGCCCCCAGGGAGCGAGAGGAGAGAACATTGCCTTGTAATGATTTGTGGTGAATTGGACAAATGTTTTCAGAAAGACCTCTTTCCAGCAAAGTGCTTGATGAATTAAAGCTCGGGGATAAACTCTGTGATCCGCGAGTCTAATTCGGGCTTGAGCGACAAACAACGCAAGGATGTATTTCGCACAAGTAGGTCGATGAGATTTCTTTTTATATAAAGAACTAAGAATTTCTGGATTAAATAACATCGTCCGTGGGTCAATTTATCGCCTTGGATTACTATCGCCAATGTATTTTTATTGGGATGTGAATAAGCGTGAAATAAGGTGAAATTCCTTCCTGATCTGCAAAAACAAAAAGAAATTTACTGAATATTTTTTGGTCTAATGTCTAGTGCAAATGTCTTAGTACACTTGAAATAAGTCAGAAACCATCTCAGAAGTAAAGGTTCAGCAATATGTGAGTCAATAATTAGTCAATAATTCCTTAATATTGATGAAAAAGTACTTGTTCAACAGGCATATTTTTTCACTTATAACATAGAAATCATCTTGTTATTACTGAAATAATCTGACAGTGGAGCTGGTGCTTATTATTGACTTAAAACAAGCTCCTACATCTTGCTGTAAAGTTGCTTGTCTTATTCCAAGTGTACTAAGACATTTGCACAAGAATTGCAAGAATGAAAACAAGCGCGCTACTTTTCAGCACACCTTTCGGCTTTGCTGTGGTTTTTCTCATCTCCTGTCCGTTTTCTGTCATTCGCAGGAGAATCCGTACATGTGCAACAACGAATGCGACGCCAGCACCGAGGAACTGGCGCACCCTCCGCAGCTGATGTTTGACATCGAGGGTCGCAACCCCACGACCTTCTGGCAGTCCACAACTTGGAAGAAGTACCCAAAAGCCCTTTTGGTCAACATCACGTTGTCCTGGAACAAAACCATCGAGCTGACCGACGACATCGTCATCACGTTTGAGTCGGGCCGGCCAGAGCAGATGGTCCTGGAGAAATCTCTGGACTACGGCCGAACCTGGCAACCCTACCAGTTTTACGCCACCGACTGCCTGGACGCCTTCACCATGGAGCCCAAAACAGTGCAGGACCTCTCCCAGCACACCCTGCTGGACATCATCTGCACGGAGGATTACTCCCGAGGGTACGTGTGGAAGTATGACAAAACTGTACGCTTCGAGATCAAGGACCGGTTTGCACTGTTTGCTGGGCCCAGACTGCACAACATGGCCTCGCTTTACGGTCAGCTGGACACCACCAAGAACCTGCGGGATTTCTTCACCATCACGGACCTGAGGATCCGGCTGCTTCGGCCTGCCACCGGAGCCACCATGGTGGACGAGAGCAGCCTGTCGAGATACTTCTACGCCATTTCTGACATCAAAGTCCAGGGCAGGTAAGAAACGCTCCGATGACAGTCAACCGGGAGAAGTACTGTTCTATCTATTCTCTTTCAAATTTCTTCTGCTTTAGCTTTCTGTTGTCCCATTTACATTTTCACATCATACAATACCTACAGTACAAAATATTGTTTTCTCAAGATGATTTAATGCGTCAAGCAAAAGAAGCAACCCAGAGCAATCTGGTGTTTTGTGAAACGGCAACTGTTTGGTATGACGTTCTCTCTCTCAGATGCTGTCGGTTTTACAAATGTCGTCTACAAAGTTGCACTTTTGACTTACCAGTCTTCAGATTTTATTTAATGTTTTTTTCCAAAACTCTTGGGAGTCAGTGGGATATCTTTGGTGAATGTGAAACTTGTCTTCTGCTTTCTCAGTGGGAGTTTTGGACTTGCAATTTTCCAAAGGATTATTTTTATATCATAACCACAGGAGTTAAGTGAGGCCGATGAAGCCTGCAGTGTCGAAGTTGTTGTTCTACGTTCTTCTGTGACCCCCTGCAGGCGTCCTCTATGCATTGGGTTCATTTTGTTTGACTGCTGGTTGCTTCTGATAAGGTTTGCCGCCATTCAATGTTCTCTCCTTTAGTGGACAGTGGCTCTAACTGCGCTACATCTGGATCTCAGGAATGGCTTTCCACGCCTTTCCAGACGGATAGCCGTCAAAAACTTAATGTCTGTTCTTGAAGTTCTTTAGGTTGGTGAATAATGTGTTGCTTTCTGAGATCTTTTCACTTACTTCATGTTGTCATAGTTCTACTAAAGTGGTTTCTTAGCAGTAATAAATTAAGTAAAACCTTAACACTTTCCCCCGGTCCAGGCTTTAGGTGGATGCTGTTTTTCCTAATAAATGAAATTGATGTTTAGAAACTCCTTTTTGTGTATATTCAGATGATAATTGTCTAATATTAAAATGTATATGATGAGCTGAAAGATTTTGATGACAAAATAGCAAAAAAAAAAAAAAAATTATTTATTTTATGACACAGTAGGAGCCATTAATGTTTTTAGGGTTGACGAGGATGCTTGAAAGATATTCATGTGGTTTGTTTTTTCCCCCTCAAACTATCGAGAAGTTGCCCAGTTGTGAGGGGGTAAAAAAGAATGTGTCGACTGTTCACCATTCTTTCCAATTAGGCAGGGAATCCATTACGTTGTGCAGCGTTCACAAGATGTCTGCGTGCCTTAATCAAGCGAACTGCTTACGGTTTGCTGAAGCACTCCACCTCGGACAACAAACTCACTCAGCTGCCTGTTAGGTGCGCGAAACACATCAGATGTGAAGTTTCAACCGTCAGGGCGCCGCGCGCGCCGTAATTAGCGCCTGATTTAATGATTCCGCAGAGGGTCACATGACATGACAACAAGACGCCATTATGCTGTTTGCAGAGAGGCCGACGACGGCTTCCCAGGCTCCTCGGTGCTCTCATGGGAGTCTCGGGGCGCGGATCTGTTTTTACACAGCGTGGCATCTCAGTTCAACAGATGCAGTCGGGGAGGGGTTAGAGAGATGAAGATTTAATTACCCTCGTTTTACTTCTCACACATGAGAAACTCGCAGCGTGAGGACGCGGAGCGTGGCGGAACGTCACAACGATTCAAGGGAACGGGCCAAAGTGTCGGAATCAGGTTGCCAGTCCGGGGTGGTGCCGCAGTGAAAACCTCGGGTGGGATGATGACTAATGGAAATGTCTGGTTTAGGCACAACAAGTAAGAGTTGATCCCACGTATGCATGCTGCCTTGCAAAGTCTGCACGCCTCTTGAACTTTTTCTGATTGCGTCGGTGCATTTTGTTGGGCTTTATGGATATAATAGGCTCTGTAAACACGAAGCAGCACATAATTGACAAATAGAAGGAAAAGTGATACATAGTTTTTGATTTCTTTTTCTTCACAAATGAAACACTTAAAAGTGATTTTTATTCAGTTATTACCAAGAAGTAACACAGGCACTAAGCTTCAAGTAGCCCTGAGCTTTGACTGGGTCAGTTTAACTCCGCTGCAATCTAGCCTGGAAGAAAAACAGTCCTTTGTTCTACGCTTTGCTTAGTGCAGAGAGTCCGGACTGTGGAAGTTTAAAATTTTACCCATCTGCTAACGTTTGGCCGTGACATATGCAATGCACCATTTTGACGCGATGAAGCTTACTAGAAACTTCCTGTGCTGTAAACAAACATCCTCCACTGCGAAAAGAGAAGGCAGCTGTTCATGTTAATTCAATATGTGGAAGTTCGGCCAACACGAACTGAACGGCTTCGTTCATCTCCTTGTTCACTTCCTCCGTTGGTAAAACTACAGGCGGACTACAATTCTAAACCAGCGCGGAAAATCAACGTCATCATTCACAACTTCTCCTCTTGTTTGCTGATTGGTCCGGCTGAAATTCTGCTGGAGAAATTCAGCTCAATGGGAGAAATCCCAGACAGAGCACTGAAGGGGAATGAGAATCAAGTGGAATTTCGTAGAAATGCAAAAGCCAGTAGCTGCATAGTTAGAATTGTTGTCTTCCTGGAGGCCTTGTGTTTGGCTATATTCATCTTTCCCACACCATGATTCCACCACCACCATGTTTCATGGTGGGTTCCCATTCCCAGGTTAATTGGTTGTTTCTCTGATAGCACTCTCCTTGTCCAGCCAGTCACTTTGGGTTCATGGTCATAGTTACATGGTGTGTGTTCTCTATAAGGCCTTGTGCAACGACGTCACTCTTCCAGTGTTTAATGCACAGTTTTACAGCAATAATGTCTCTGCTGCTGGGACATTATTTACATTTATATTGCCAAACGCCTTAAAGGCTTTTAATTAACCTCTAATTTATTGATTTCCCTAACATGTCATTATTTCAAGTACAACCACTCCACACCTCTACTTTGCGCTCACTAAATAGGGACGTACCCCTGAGCACAAAAAAAAAGGGCTATGATAATGAATGCCACGCTCAGAAATTGAATTTATGACTTTTCCGGTGATTTAGAAGGTCATTCAACAAAAATAACTGCGAGGGTGTGGGAATTTACCAACAAAAGAGATGAACGGGGTTGCCGAAAGCACAGATTATTTATTCTTTCCGAATAATCATGATCAAACTCTTACATCCCTGCGGGGTTTTTCGGGCTTGAGCGATGAGTTTTGTGGCGCCGGCGTCGGAGGCCCGCGGTCGTTTACCGGCCCCGCTGCCTTTGGAGCAAGGCTCGCCTGAGAAACGCTTCCCACTGTTTACCAAAGGTAACGCACAGTTCAGCAATAATGAGGCACATTCAACACAGAGAGGCTTCGTTCCCCCTCTCTCCAACCGCCCCTTCCCCTTCCCGAGGCAAATCACAGCTCAACGCCTTTCTCTGCACGTCGAGTATCAAACGTAAGCTCCTTAACCCCGGAATACAGTTCTCCGCGAGAGATTTCGCGGGCCGCTGAGGTTGGATCTGGACCGCATCCATGCGCCGGACTCAACCTGCATCCGCGTGGATCAGGAGTGTGAGCGGGCGCTGAGGGAAGTGCGGTTTGGAGGAGCTTGCAGGTTTTCGACCTTTTTCACAATGTTCTGGGAAACAAAGCCTGTGTTTTTTTGTTTTTTTTTTCCAAAGTAGGTCAACGCAGAACAGAAAGATGAAGCAAAAGTTTCTCCAAATGTATTTCTACTACATTTATTGCATATACAGCAAAAAAAAAAGCTATTCTTTTGACAACTTGACACAAACTATTTTTCAAATGATCATTTTTTAAATTTGATTTAGGTTCTTAAAATCAAACCAGATTCTATGTAAAAAATGAATCATCTGTCTGTCTGAGCCCTGATTAGTGTCAAGACAATAAGAATCAATCGTTTTAGAAGTTGACTCACAACAGGAAGTCAGTTAAAATAGGTTTTGAAGTGTATTCAAAACTCATGGGTTGTTCGTAATTATACCATTTCGAGATGTAAAGTGAATAAATTTGGTGCACTAGTTTGAGTTAAAAAAAAAAATTTAACACAAGTCCATGTTATAAATCGCTGTGCAATCAATTTTTTTTCCCCCAAAGAAAGTCAACCTGTTTCCCGAAGACCTGCAGCCAGTAGCCGTGTTTCCATTGATCGTGAAATGATGGCAGTTGAAATTACGAAAATAAATTTGCTAAATGGAAATACAGCAATTTCGAAAAAACTTTCGTCTGTCGATAAAACGTTTTTCACACGAGGAAAAATGTTTCAGCTCTCTCGAAATTGGTGTATTTCGCAAAACTGCGAAGAAATCACTTTTCTCTGATCACACCAGTCAAGTGATCGACAAATGGATGTCTCCACCGGCGGAAAAGTCGACAGGAAGTTATAGGGGAACGATGGCGCAGCATGTTTTTTTTTTTTTTTTTAATAAAATTAGTCACGTGTGATTTTCATTTTGTTTCTTATTCAGTGGAAACACAGCAATTGCGAAATTGTGTTTTTGCGAAATATCCACTAAGTTTTCCGTGCGTTTGTGATGGAAACGCAGCTCTTTGTAGGTTACAGTAAAGACATGAACAGCTTCCCCATATTTGGCATATTTGACATTTAACTACCACTTGTGCATGTTGAGCCTCCGAGAAGCGGACTTTACCGGCACATACCTGCATATGTGGTGGTCCGGGATGCTAAATCCGCTCCAGGCATGAGGGACCTTAGCTTAGACCTGCTACCGAGACGCCGAGATATAACCTGCTTTCAGACTCTTCAGTTTAAATCTAAACAAACTCATGAGCAGATGGGAATCAGTCTGGGAACCATGACAAAGCTATTTCTACAGCTTTGGGACTCCAGCGAACGAGAGCCAATATTCACACAAACGAAGAAGGAGAGAAACTTTCCAGAAGTGGCTGACATACAAAAAAAAAAAAAAAAGACTCAAAGAGCAAGTAGATGACTCGGTCAGCGTTTATGGTTCAATAATAAGAAATAGGCTATAGCAGAAAACGGGATCCGTGGAAAAGGTTTCTAAGGTAAACACTGCTGCTGAAAAAACCCTGTCTCACATGTACAAAAAAACAAAAAATAAAAGTCTTGATGGAGAGAAAGTAGA